GTCATGGGTTAGCAAAAGCTTGAGGTGCAGGGGGGGCGAAAGGGGGACGAAGCAGAAGAGACTATCGAGCCCTCAAGAAATGAAAAAAACAAGAAAAATAGAACAGAAAGAAGGAAAAAAAAAAAAAAGACTAGAGAGACATGCGGCAGTAAGGTGCATCACCGCTGAATCGCCGATGCACGTAGGACTGACTGCCTCAGAACCCTCTTATACAGTATCGTACACACTCCAAAAACTAGAGCTTGTTAGTGAAGCGGATTTCGTGCTCCGTATTCATCAAAACGCAGAGGCTTGTCTTGTCGCGGTAACGTCTTGTTTACCAACCATTACACACAGGAGGCCCGGTCATGTGCACTAATACACTTGTAAAATGTTTTCGAGGTGCGCCTATTTACTGTGGCAGACTACGAACTGCCGGAAAATGGCAAAAGGGAACCGGGCACGAAAATTTGAAACAGAGCAGCAAAGGACAGACTAGCGCGCAGAAACAAAGGATGTGGGTGGGGCGTCATGGACCGGCATTTCCCGTTGCAATTGACCACTACAGTAGTCTTGTGTTTCATCATGGGTGGGAAACAAAAAGCAAGATATCATCGGTCAAGTTGTAGCGACAAACAGAACTAGACGATTCATGGCCGGCGTAGTGCAGGCAACGGGAGGGTCCCTGACGGGTTCCTGTCTCTTGTTGCTCCTCGTCCTTGCTGCTGCAGATGCTGCCGCTGCTACTGCCGCGGCCGCCTCTCTCACACGAGCGTAGCACTAAAAACACACACATACTTCTATATATACATATATTTATACGCATACACAAGCATCCTTGCGAGAGGCAAACGGCCGACCACGAAATCCACCACCGTAACCGGAAGGAGGAGGGTGGGCAAATTCATCGCCGCACCGCCCGCCTCAAGACAGCAACCAGCAGAAGAAACAGGGAGGGACTTTCTGCGACGGCGGAAGCTCTCTCCCGCTCTCTTTGCTCACCGGCGAAACGTCCGGGTACGGCGGAAAATCGCGACAGATAGGCCTCGGGCCCGACCCCGCAACTCCCTGGCAGCTCCGACACTCGTCGTTACCCTCGGCATCACCCTGGGGAAATGTAAACGTTTGACACACAAGACAAGGGTGTGCGTCGGAAACACAGAAGGCGATAGAGCGCAAAAGAAAGGGACGGAAAGCACGGTGTGTGTGGGAAACACAGAAGGACATACAATGCCTTCCTCCTGTCACACATCCTTGCGGTACGATGCATACCGACACCACTTCCTTCTCGGGGGTCTCATCATTTGGGACCCTATCCAGGGGAAAACATGCAGTACGGATTTGTCCTAAATATGCATACCACTGCGAGACGGACACAGAAGCAATGTCAACAACCAAAACAAAGGCGCGGGATCGAACAAGTTGAAGTTCTCCATAACTCAGTGTTTGTGTGCGGGAATAGTTCGCGGGAGCGAAAAAGAAGCAGGTCTTAACGATGCCCACACAACGGTCCTGCCGTGTCTTGGAGCGTGGACGTTGAAGGCTCTCTCTTGCCTTGGGCATCAAACGTCACCGCCTTTTGTTTTTTTTTCCTCGGCGAGGAAACCAACCAAGAATGAGTAGATACAAAATATTGTCCAAGTTCTCACCTTTCAAGACCAATAAAATCATAATTCCCTGTCCATAAAATACCAGCGAAATTTTCCTGCCTGACATGCCAGGTTCTTCGCATCAATCGCCTCTCGGCTGAACAACAAAACGGTCGGAAAATATGAGGACAACAACAAACAAAAAAAAAACATCAAGCCGTCACGTCGTGCTGTGCACTACTGCTGTCCAGCAACCTACCTCGCCAGGGTAGCCATCTGAGGGACCCCTATAGTACGGCTCCAGGCCACGGCTGAGATTGGCGTGGAAGCGCAGCCTCTCCATCTGTACGTGCACACAGAGAGGAGGGCGAACGTGTCGGAGTTGGGGTGGGGGAGGGTGACGTCGTCTCTACGCATCATGCATAGCCGCTCAAGGTGTAGTACAGCGGTGACTTTGCAGCTACTCTACGATCAGAACCCCACGTGGCATCCGTAAATAGTGAGTAGCAAATAAGTCTGCAGCGGAGCACAAACGTAGGCTACTGCTGTAACGCAAACCAGCGGGCGTAGGCATCATACCCTCGCCCCACTGCATTACTGCTGTTGGCCCAGTGTTGTGTCGAAAAACAACATGTTCCTTCGCGTACACAGCGTGCCAACCCCCACAGTCAGGGGTTAGGAACCGAAACAAGCCTTTTGCACTCGTCGCACTCATGTTACCGCATTTTTTCCGCTTGGGACCCCCTCCGTCCCGCCCTCTGCGATGACCCCCGCTAAACACATCGGCAATCGGTGAGGAGGTTGTTGATGTTGTTGTTGTTGTCTGGAAGACCGTTCCGGTCTCCTCCTCTCAGCGCCTTCTAGCATCGGTAATGGTTCCAGCTGAGGCGGTCAAAGGTGCTTAGACCAAGGACGCCTTCCGTGGTCAAGACCAAGTACCCCCCGGAAGGGGCACAGTACCCCCCTGGAATGAATACAGTACCCCCCAGGAAGGGTACAGTACGCCTTTCTAGACGGAAAATAACAAAAAACCAAAGGTTCAATGTGGGCTACCTCGTGGGTGACCTCCCACAGAACTGGTGCGACCAGAAAACGTGTGGTGCCGAAAGGTGTCAAGACGTCGACTCACGTACGTCCAGCGTCAACGGGAATGGCAGCACACACACAGGGCAACGCCTTTTTCGTCTTCAGAAAACGGAACCCCATCAACAGCCCCCCCCCCCGCCCCTCCAAAGAAAAACGTTCACTCACACGCACACACACACACGGGGCCCCAGATCATGGCCTATACAACTTCGTCCTCCTTTTCGGCCGCACTGAGACTGACGTTATGTCATTGGCAAGCCCTGTACCGTAGCGCGGTCGACGCAAATAATACAGACCCATACAAAAAACAGTTGCTTGACTGACGTACTCATTGGTCAGCCGGTTAGCTCGGTCGACGCGAACAAGAAAAGACAGAAACACACACACAACGCACTTCACCCACCGGCGAGCAGTTGGGGTAGGGGGCGAGGGCCCGACAGTTTATCGGTCTTCGCGTGGGTCCTACGACGGACTGGCAGCTCCTGCACTCACCCCCCCCGTCGCCGCATTCCTGATGGGGATGGAAAAAACATATACAGATACAGATATTTGTAGCGAGAGACGGCCAAGCGACGCTTGGAACGAATATGGTTTTGGCCTGGGGGTTACCATCCCAGACTCACGCTCGAAACAAGGTGGACGATTCAAGTCAACAGAACCAATAAACTTCCGCCTGGGCTCGTCGCCCGTCGTCACTGCCACTGCTGCTGCCAGGCATTCCTTCAGCCCTTCGTTCCTTCATGTCTTCATTCGATGACATGACATGAAATGACATGACATAACGTGTATATGTACCCTCTCCTACCGACACGCCCAGACCAGTCGGCGTCCAATTCTTGTTGTGTATGTATCCGCGTGTTCGCCCAGGATCACTACAATGCATGATAACACCGCCAAGAACAAACCGTGGATACAAAAAACATCGGGGAAAAGATGACCAATAGGAATTCTTCACGCGCGACAACTACTACCTTACGACAACGTTAACAAAAACAGAAGCGACCCACAAGAACACAACAAACGTACAGCATTGCAACGAACACCCGGAAGCAAAAAAAAAAGACACATTTCGTTCAAACCTTTGGTGCGGGTCTTCGAGAGTCTCAGCAGCAGCAGCAGCAACAGCAGCAGCAGCAGCAGCAACAACAACAACAACAACAACAACAACAACAACAACAGCAGCAGCAGCAGCAGCAGCAGCAGCAGCAGCAACCGCACATACCTCTTGTTCTGCGATGACACGATCGGCCTCGGCCTCCGTTGCGAAGTTGGTCATGGACTTGTCGGGGAAGTGGAATCGCGCTGCACGGTCGTGGGCCTTGGCAGCCTCCAGCTCGGACTCGTACACGCCCAGGTACAGCTGACCACGTTCACGGTTCGGTAAGGTAGGGTAAGGTACGGTAAAGGTAAGGTACGGTAAAGGTAAGGTACGGTACGGTAACGGTACCGTTGCGGTACGGTATACGGTGCGTGCAGGGCACAAGGCGCCACAGAAACATTAACGTCGTAAATAGATAGGAAAGGCTAACGTGCACAACACCACGAGTTGCTTGGACGACGTGACCCTCTGCGTCACGAGCTATGTAGCGACCGCCGAATCGGTAACAAGGAGTTGAACATGCAGGGGCACAAGGCTTGAGGAAACACTACCCCTGCGATCGTGTGTGTGTGTGTGTGTGTGCATGTATGTCTTTCATTATTTTTTGACCGCGACACCCGGCAAACTAGTGGGAAGACGTAAGTCCGATAGCGGGATAAACGACGTAAACATGCTGAAGCGGTTTTGCGGCCACGACAAACCACCAAAAACTCCCAATTTCCTTCTGAAATCGGGAGCAAGCAGCACGACTTCGATCCACCGACCCGTCTGTCAGACGCTGTCCCATGAGCTAGATGGGACCAATCCCTCGCAACACAGGAAAACCCGCAACATAGCGGAAGAGCACACAGCCAAAAAAGGCGCAATTAGCATGTCACGACCCCTTCACCCCACACAGGATGCAGCCAACTGCAGCAGTGAGAGGCAGGCACATCGGTCCCCTCGCACCTATTCCTTCTTCCTTCCACACCAAAAACACAAGAGGCTGAGCTAACATGTTGTATCGCTGCTAATGCCGCCTGTCTTCCCTCGACAACACACGTTCCATGAGGCGATATTCTGTGTTTTCGTCCCAACTACACATTCGGGCCGCCAACCTCATCCCACGAAGCGGTAGTTACCCTTGGTGCCCTTACGCACCAGGAGGGGTCACGCAGTCACGCAGGAGGAAGGTAAAAGCTGGACTACTTTTCTCATGTTCTACACCAACAAAACACAAAATCAACTCCCAAAAGTGTACGCACATACACACACGTTACATACCCAGAAGCCTGTATTTGTTTGGGTGTGTAGGGCTGGCAGAGGTTGGTGCCGACTAATTTTTTTGTTCTTGTATACGCCAAGAGAAAGGAAAAACCACCAACAAAAGAGGTATGGAATAACTACCGTATCGGAAGCTGGTTGTAGCGTTTAATCGGCCACCATTTCGCCGAGTGACCGCCTCCTATCGTTGCTGAGAATAATTTTTCTTTTTCCGCCTGCTACAACATTTCAAGCGCGTCTCTCTCCTTTGTCCAAACGCATCAGTGCCAGGGACGGGAAGGGATAGGGCGTGCGTGGGTCACCGAGACAGCAGCGCGCACGCAAAGCAGTACATCCCCATCTCCTCAAACAAAGCAATCCAACACACCCAAACACACACCCCTCCCCGGACAACACGCCACGCAGCACACCTGTTTGCGCTCCTTGTATATCACGGCGCGCCACTTCCCTTCCCTCGTCACGCAAACGCCCCGGTAGATCGAACGCCCCTTGCGCCCCCGCCGCCGGCGCGGCGTTACCGGTGCCTCCAGGGACTCGTCCCCCCCCGCCCCCCCGCCCCCCTCCTCCCTCAGGCTCCGGGGTCTTGCTTCCTAAGCTCAAAAGGTGTTTCTCCGAAAATGCCGAGATATTTGGTGCCCTAACGAGCCGTCTACGGATATCAACGGCCAGCTGACGTGTTTCCTAAATACGTGTCCTGCTCCCTGCCCAACGCCCCACAACGCAGCGCGGGGGGCACTCTGCTTAGGACCCCCCCCCCC